CTAGTCCGGGTTCGGGGTAGCCCTTGGGGTGACGGCGTGCGGGCGGCCCGCCCTGTCAGCTCCGCGCCAGCGCGGCCGTGGAATAGGCCGCGGCGCCGAACGGGCTTTTCCGGTTTGGGGAGGCCGGGCTGGTTACGGCTCCGTGGGCCGCGCAGGGAGGTCCCGCTGCCGGAGAACGCACGGCCGGCGGGTGATCCGGGAAAGCTCCGGGGGAAGTAGGGCCCCGGCCGCGGGCTGCCGGCCGCAGTCATTGCCGCGGAAGGAGGCGTCTCAGTCCGGACTTATGCATCGGCCGTGGAGTTAGGTCACGGGCAGCTGTAGCTCATCAGCAGCTCACTCTTCCGTGATCATAGAAATGTCGTCTATGTCGCGGGGCTCTTGAGAAGCGCTAATAAAATAATGCGAGTGTGGCTTGCATAGCGGTGTAAGGATTCAGGCAGGATTCTGTGCTGCAGGAGAATGGGTGGCGCTGCCTGCAGGGTAGAGGCACCCCTTGCAAAGCCCTGTCCCCTGTTCCCTCCCTTGTCTCCTCTCCCTGGAGAGGCTTGGCCAAGGAGAAGCCAGGGAGCAGTAACTTTCTGAGTTGGAATTACGCTGTGGGAGATAAATTTTGTATTGACCCAAATGCGAAGAAATTTCTGCCAGTTCTTATTCCCCTAAAAGAAGAAAGTTAGGTGTGCTTCACCTAAGCTTCATGGGCCTCTAACGGGAATACAGGAAGCCAACGAAAAGGTAACTTTGCAGAGTGTTGCCTGTAAGTGGGAATTGTGAAAAGTGACGGCTACCTGGAGCATTGCAGTCTTTTTTTTTAGAATCAACAAAATCATTCAGGTTTAATTGTATAACAAATCTCAAAATTGGCAAAATAAACTGGTATTAACTGATTTAATAGGTAGCTGTTGTAAGGGAATTATTGTGGGGCGCAGCCACAGTGTTTTGGACAGGTTCAAGCCTCGGACTGAGGAGAGGGCACAGTCCTTTTATTGCCACGTGCAAGTCCCAGCCAAGGCCTTCCCAGCACAATTATAGCCAACAGCTATAGCTGTAAGCTTGAACCTATGGTCTGAACACGTGGCCCCACGTGCCTGAGTGATAGAGTTCAGGTGCATGTAGTTGAGTAGGATCGAAACTCACGAGACTGTTGTAAACATCTTGATCACGCCCTTACTTTCCCTCGTGGCATCAGCTATAAAATAAAGACACGGCTTGTGGGTGTCGCCACTGTCTCCTCATCAGAGAAGCAGCATCCCACCGAGACCCAGCTTTCATTCTCTTGTCTGTCTTTTCTCAATCCTTCACCGCCCCCTCTCAGGGTCACTGAACCAGGCTGAGCTGGCATGGTACATAGGGCGTCCTGGGGCTGAGTATGCCATGGCCGTGCCGGCTCACCACAAATTATATTACAGATGATCATTAACTATCTAGCGCACAACTACGACCTGAGAGAGAAAAACAATTGTTGTGTTTTTGGTTTGTTTTTTTTTTTACAAAAATCCAAGCATAAGAAGAGCTGGAGTTTATTGACTTACCCATCAAAGCCCAGTCACTTAGAATTCTATTACTCAGCACACATTTGTTGGGTACATTGTACACCATGGACAGTATTCGTGGAAAGAAGAATAGATATATGAACAAAATAATAAAGCTTAATTCCTGTTTGTTTGTTTTTAAAATATATTTTATTGATTTTTTACAGAGAGGAAGGGAGAGGGATAGAGAGTTAGAAACATCGGTCAGCTGCCTCCTGCACACTCCCTACTGGGGATGTGCCCGCAACCAAGGTACATGCCCTTGACTGGAATTGAACCTGGGACCTTTCAGTCCACAGGCCGACGCTCTAGCCACTGAGCCAAACCGGTTAGGGCTTAATTCCTGTTTTGAGGAGCTCTTAGTTTGGTTGACATAAAAGAAACAATTATAGTATGTATACAATTTCTTTCACAAGTAAGTTAGATAATAGCTGCTGTATGAGGTCAAAGGAGAGAAATCGCTACCCTATAAGGTGGTCAAGGAGCCTTCATGGAGAAGATAGCATATGAGCTGGACCCAGAAGAATTCCAACAGACATAGGTAGTGGGAAGGGGTGAATGGGAAAGATATTCCCAAGGGAGAGAATGGAATGAGCAGAGGTGTGGAAGGGAGAAAGCATAGTGAAAGATAGCTGTTTAACATTGGGTTCCAGAAAGAGGGCTGAACAGTCAAGTTGGAACCACACAGTATTAATGTTCTCTCTTCCCCTTACTGGTTTCTTTTGAGACCACCTTCAGTCATTTGCTCACAAATTCTCACCTCAAGATTTGTTTCTGGAGATCCTGGTTGTGTTAGTTGGGTATACCAAGAAGCAGACATCAACACAGGATTAGATGTGCAAGAGGTTTGTTTTGGAGGGAGCTGGGGCAGGCAGGGAGAACTTGCAGACCACAATGCAGCTGACCCCTCTGAAAGGAAAGAGGGTTGGGTAGGAAGCTTGTGTGAAACGCAGCTCCAGGAAAGGTTTGACTTTGCAGTGGGGAGTCCTCTGCAGTTGGCCAGAATGGGTCTGCTACTCTGCCATGCGCAGTCATTGACTAGAAGCAGCCTTAGAAAGCCTGGCCTCTCTGCAAATGTGATGGATCCAGAGGACAGTAGCTGGGCTGTTGTTGTCCTGCCCATAGCAGAAGATCTGAGGGGAGCTTTTTCATGGCCACCACACTGTCCTAGGGTATTTTTATTCATTCATTTTCAGAAAGTATTTTCTTGGTTTAATCCTAGCTAATAAAAGAATAATATGCAAATTAACTGTCACTCCATCACTGCGACAAAGATGGCGGCACCCATAGTGGCCGGGGCAGGATGCTGGCGGTGTCACCCCGGCAATGTGAGCCCAGCAGGCAAGTGCACCCGCAGGCAGCACCCAGCAAGGCCCGCTTGGCCATTGCCGCAGCGACCTGCGAGCAGGCAAGTGTGGCCCACAGGCAGCACCCAGCAGGGCCTGCTTGGCCGTTGCCGTGGTGTGGAGCAGGCAGGCCCCGCAGAGAGCAGAGAACCATGGGGAACGGGCCCAAGCTGTCAGTAGGACATCCCCTGAGGGCTCCTAGATTGGAGAGGGTGCAGGTCGGGCTGAGGGATGCCCCCACCCCTGTGCACGAATTTCGTGCACCGGGCCTTTAGTGTATATATAATCTGGCACTGTGAATAAAACAGTAGTGCTATTATGCTCATGCACCTTTTATTCTGTGGGAGAGCAGATTATTTTTAAAGTAAATAAAAACATAAACAAATTTTACTATATGATAAATGCCATGGTGGAAGTAATAGCTAACATCTATTGAATGCTTGAATGCTTGAATGTGTACTTGAATTCTATGTGCTTTACAAATATGAACTCATTTAATCCTCCCAGCAACCTTATGAGGTAGGTACTTTTCCCAGATTACAGAAGAATCTGAGGTGAACAGTGCTTAATTAACTTAGCCCTAAGGTCATTCAAAATCAAAGGAATGAGAAACTAAGGTAGAGAATGCTTTAGGCCAGCCGTGGGCAAACTACGGCCCGTTTGAAATGAATAAAACTAAAAAAAAAAAGACCGTACCCTTTTATGTAATGATGTTTACTTTGAATTTATATTAGTTCACACAAACACTCCATCCATGAGTTTGTTCCGGCGCTCCGGTTTAAGAACCCATTGTGGCCCTCGAGTCAAAAAGTTTGCCCACCCCTGCTTTAGGCAGTATTTATATTTTCAATTACAGTTGACATTCAACACCATATTAGTTTCAGGTGTACACATTTATATAATTTATGAAGTGATCCTCGCAACAAGCATAGTACTCACCTGGCACCATATATAGTTATTACAACACTATTGACTATATTCCCTATGCTGTGTTTTATATCCCTGTGATGTTAAAAAAAAAAAGTCAAACCTCCAATTTTCACTTCTTAATCCCTCCACCTTTTTCACCCAGTCCCTTAATCCCCCTCTCACCCAGTCTGTTCTCTGCAAATCATGAGTTTCTCTCTGCCAGAAAAGACCTCTCTGAGGAAGTGCTATTTAAGTTAAAACTTAAAGAATAGAAAGGGAATTAATTGTACATTTGTGAGGGTGGGGCATGGGAGGGGAAGGCAAGAAAGAACATTCCAGGTAGAAGGAACAGCATGTGCAATGACTTGTGTTAGGGAAGAGAGCAGTGGGAAAAAGGAAAGAGCCAGATTCTTCAGGAGCATGTACCTCTCTGGAGTTGCAGTCTCTTCTGCACACTACAGTCTTTTGGAATCTGGTGGGACACAAAGTTTGTTTTTAAAAGTTTTCTAGATTTTGCATAAAGTGTTTCAGAGGAGAGTCATTTGCTTTCATTGTTCAACTTGCTTTCACTCTGGAGCATCTGATTTCCCTCATGTGACTGGTGATATTTCATTATGTGTGTATGTTTATAAATGAAGGTTAAGGCTGTTCATTCCGCTCACATATTTCCCACTCCTTACTTGCCATTCCCACCCCCTGCCACCCCATTCTTGTAATAGACAAAGCAATTGGATTATGACCAGACCTGGCCAGCACTAAGTCTCTAAAATGTTTTTCTGCAGCTGGAAAATGTGGCTGCTGGACTCACCAGAATTCACTTTTATAAACAATAGAAACCTACTTCGGTTAGTATTTTGAGAAGTTAGTTATTGGGAGGTTATCAGGAAGTTCAGACAACCAGGTGGAAAGCTCTGGAAATGAAGCTTGGGTTCAATGGAAGTAAGACATAGTTTCAGTCTTAAGATGTCCCCATTAACACCGCCTCTAATGCTCGGTTCTGCTCCTGGATTCTGGGACCCCTAAACACTTGTCACCATA